GCTTTCTAAGTACTAGTAACAGAATTTTTATGGGACCTGGTCACCAAGCTAAAGACTATAAAATTAGCAGTCAGAAGCTAACCATGAGACTAAATTCTGATAAGATGTGAGAGAAAAAACAAAAATTGACACTCCCAGATCATGCCCTTAAGAGAAAGGTCTCTTTCCCTTTTCTGTTTCCAATTGGCTAAGAGCTGGAGCAACCATCAACAAACTAGATGGAGGCCTAGTCTCTATTGTGGAGCTGCCATATCAGCTTCAGAAGGCTAACAAGCAAGCAAGCAAGCAAACAAACAAACAAACAAACAAACATACATACATACATACATACATACATACATACATAAACGACCTTATTTAAGCCAGTATTTTGGTTTTCTCTGTTACATAGCAGCTAAACTGATATCTTAACTATAAATCTACATTTCAATTGGTACCAATCTTAAATTGGTATTCCAAGTCTAATTCTCCTCAGAACTATCTAACTGCTTACTTGACACCTCCACTTTGGTAACTAATTAATATGGCCATACTTTTTTTTTTTTTTTTAATTTTTATTGTGAACTGAGTGAAAGTTTACAGAGCGGGCCATCAGTTTTATATTTAACAAATCATATACTTTGCTTCATTACAAGGACTGCAATCCCCTCCATGTGCCAATAGTATTAACTTCTATTCACTTTAACTCTTGCATTCCTCCCTGTGTCTCCCACTACCTTCATCTTGCCTCTGTTAACCTCCCTCTTATATATTTCCTGCCCCGTCACCCATGTTAACATGTGTTTACCCTCTAACCCATGACTAATTCATCCCCCATCCTAATCATCATATAATGTTTCTTTTACCAAGAAAATATTTTCTTAACTTTTTACAACAGTGGTCTCATTTGTCCTTTTGTGACTAATTTCACTCAGCAACATGGCATCAGGACTGGAGGAAGACTCATTAACAACCCATGATATGCAGATGATACCACCTTGCTTGTTGAAAATAAAGAGGACTTAAAATATTTACTGATGAAGATCAAAGACCACAGTTTTCCGTATGGTATTGGATGGTGTTGTAAAGTACGGTAATCTCAGGTTGTTGTCTGCTATTGTTGGTTCTCAGTTCAAAGAACACACTGTAGTAACTTTTGTAAAGTTGGTCTGGTTATTACAAATTCCTTTAATTTCTGTTTATCTGGAAATGTCCCAATTTCACCGTCATATTTGAGGAACAGCTTTGCTGGGTATATGATTTTGGGGTGGCAATTTTTTTCAGAGCTTTGTCTATGTCATTCCATTGCCTTCTTGACTGCATGCTTTCTGCGGAGAAATCAGAGCTTAATCTTATTGGTTCTCCTTTGTAGATAACTTGATTTTTCCCATGCTGCTATCAGGATTTTTTCCTGTCTTTGGTTTTGTAAGTTTGATTTTGATATGTCTTGATGATTTTCTTTGGAGAGCTCTCCTGTTTTGGGTTTGTTGGCTTCTTGTATGCTTATCTTCTTATCTTTCATGATGTTACAAAAGTTTTCTTCCAACAACTATTCAATAATGTTATCTGTGCTTTTCATTATTTCTTGCTATTCTGGAATTCTGATCCTATTTATGTTGTTATAGCTATTTATGATGTTTCACATGAACCTTGGGCTTTCTTCAGACTTTTACATTCTTTTTTCTGATCGCTCTTCTACCATACTAGTATTAAGAGATTTATCATCAAGATTACTAATTTGGGCTTCCATTGCATTGAATGTACTCCTTTGCCCTTTCAATGTATTGTCTATTTCTGAAATGTTACTATTAATGTGGATTTCTAATCTCAAATTATTTGCATTTATTTTGTCTGTTCATTCTTATAATGTTTTCCTGAATTCTTCTACAATTTTTCTGTGTTCTCCTTGCTTTCTTGGATCGTTCTGTCAATCCTTTGAAGGTACCTAAATATACTTTTGAAGTTCTTTTTCAGTTTTCTGGTTCTGCATTTAGGTCATTTCTTTAAGCCATTCTTTCTTGTTTCTTCGTGTGAGCTAAAATTGTCAGTTGTCTCTGGGATGTTGTGGTGTTGTCGTATTGGTATTTAACTGTCTTGTACGGGTGTAGTTAAAGAATGGAAGTGTGTGCACTGTCTCTGTTCATGCACCTCATTTTAAGGTAAGTTTGGCCAATGTTGGTTGCTGTCTATCGTTGATCAAGGGGTATAGGAACTGGTATTGGCTCCTGTCTAGTGGGTGGAGTTGCAGAAGGTATGGTTGTAACTGGGCACAACTGCTGTCTCATTTCCATTACCTGTTTGAATTTGCTCTGCCAGACCATGTTCTGTTGTCAAAGCTGGTCACAAAAGTTCAAGATTGTTGCGCTAAGTAGAGCTGACCATTCACCAGTCAGTCTTTGTCTCTCACTGGCCCTGCTCAGCTTCTTCTCCCAGCAAGCACTCAATCCACTTCTCTAACCTTTCCTCTGAAGTTCAGTATTCCAGGATTTTCATCTGTGTCTGTTTCATTTGGTCTACTGGATCTTTGTTTCAGAGGGTCCATGGAGTGCATCTGCCAAAATCTGCTCCTCCCTCACTGTCTTCCATATGTGGAAAGCATAACCCCACTGTTCAATTTAAACATCTATGAGTTATTGTTGATTTCCTTCTTACTTTTACTTCTCACATCCAAGCATCATCAAGCCCTATGTTGTTGGTTTTATTAAGTGCCACTGAGTGGGTTCTGACTCACAAAAACCCTGTATTCTGGTGGGTTTGAATCACCGACTTTGCAGTTAGCAGTCCAGTGCTTATCCTACAACACCACGCCAAGATAGAGTTAAAGCGCAAGCCCTGTAACATAGCCCAAATCTATATAATGTTTCTCCATCTCTAATGCTATCAGTTTGTCTAAACCAATTTCATCTACTTGAAGAGCTGAACTAGTCCCTTAATTATCTTCCTGCTTCTACTCTGGCTCCACCCCATTTCATTCTCTAAATAGCAGAGAGACTATTTTAAATGCAAGTCAAAGCCTGTCTCTCCCTCCCTTAAGTGGCTTCCAATCATAAACTTGAAAAATTCCAAACTGTTTCCTCTGACTTGCCTCCTTCCCTAACATCTTTTCTCTACCCCACTACTCTACAACTATCTTGAGCCTTCTGTTTATTAAATACATCAAACTTGTTCTCATTTTAGGGTCTTCACACTGGCTGGCCCCTCTGCTTCTTCCTGATTCTGACATAGCTGACTCCTTGTCATTCAGATCTCATCTTAAATGTCACCTCCCCAGACAGATTTTCCCTTATTCAATCTACTGTAGCCTTCCAGACACCTGCCCATCACATTAACCTGTGCTACCATCTGCACAGCACACAGAAATCCTAGTATTTTTCTTAGTTTTATTAGTATTTCATCTATCTCCTCTTCCACTAGAACATACGTCACATGAGAGCTCAGCCCTTAGAAAATTTGCTATTTTGTTTTTTAAAAACAATAAAGTTCTTATTTCTCTATATATCCTTCATCTAGACCTATACATTTTAAAACAGTGTTTCCAGCTCTCTAACCATTCCCTAAACAACTGTGCTGCTCAATTTATACCACATCAAGACAGAAGTTTTGGTATCCTTGAGGGATTAAAATTCATGTTCATGTTCAATGTTGTTTGCATTTTGGGGGGTGGGGAAGTTGTCTGAAGAAGCAAGATAAGAGCTGGTGGGTGGATGGGACAATGTTTCTCAAATTCTCATAGGACAGTCTTGCTATCTTTGAAGAATGAGCAGGAGCATTGTCATGATGGAAGATCAGTACAACCGTCTTCACCTTATTCTCACCAATGCAGTTTTCAGGTTTGTTTTTTTAAACTTCATAGTAAGTTCCCATGATTATCCTATGTCCTTTGAGAAAACCTGTCAAAATCTCTTTGGAATCCCCAAAAAACAGTTACCATAACCTTCTGAACTGACCTCTCTGCCTTGAATTTAACTACCTAGCAGATCCCCTAGGAAGTCACTGTTTAGACTGGACCTTTATTTATTTTTTTAGAAAGCACCCTAACAAGACTAAGACAAGTATATTACTGAGAGAACTTGTCTGCAGTTATCCACGAATCGCAGAAACACATTTTAACATATTTTGTTTGGAATAAACAGCTTATGAACTGGAACCCTAGTTGTTGTTGTTGTTAAGTGCCGTCGAGTCGGTTCTGACCTATAGTGACTCTGTATAGGGTTCCTGAGGAACAGCTGGTGAGCTTGAACCACCAACCTTGCAGTTCACACCAATTTTGCAGTCCAGTGCATTAACCCACAGCACCACACCAGGACTCTGGGACCCTAGTAGCAAAACTTTTTCACTTACCTTTGTAATATTGCTGGGAATATAATGGAAAAAGTCAAGGTGGCAACTATGAGGAATGTGAAATGCAGAGCTGGGACTAATTTCCTTGGTTCTAATCTAATTCTTTTCCATTAGTTCCATACTTTTTTCTACTAGCTACCGTTATGGATTGATTTGGGTCCCCTAAAATATGTGTTATAAATCTTATCCTCTATGCCTGCGGTTGTAATCCTATTTGGAAATGAGTTGTTCTTTATTATGCTAAGAAGACACGATTAGTATAGGTTTGTCTTAAATCAATCTCTTTGAGACATAAAAGAGATTAAATTCAAGCTAGTAAACAGCCTCCAGTATAGGTTGCACCTCAATGTAAAGAAAACAAAATCCTCACCACAGGACCAAAAATTACATCATTATAAATGGAGAAAAGATTGAAGTTTTCAAAGACTTCATTTGCTTGGATCCACTATCAACACTTATGGAAGCAGCAGTCAAAAAATCAAACGATGTATTGCATTAGGCAAATCTGTTGCAAAATACCTCTTAAAAGTGTTCAACAGCAAAGATGTCCTTTTGAGAACTAAGGTATACCTGAACCAAGTCATGGTATTTTCAATGTCATATTCATGTGAAAATTGTGCAGTGAATAAGAAAGACTGTAGAAGAATTGATGCATTTGAGTTATGGTACTGGAGAAGAATATTAAAGGTACCATGGATTGCAGGAAGATTGTCAGAAGTGATGCAACAGCACCTAACAATAACAACAAGCAAGCAGAGATTGGGGAAGAGAGAGAAGCCAAGCCACATAAGATTGACCAGAAAACAGAAGCTGAAAAGATGTGTTACTGACAAAGAAAGAAAGCCTTTCCCTAGAGCTAGTGCCCTGAATTCTGACTTCTAGTCTCCTAAAAAGTGAGAAAAGAAATTTCTGCTTGTTAAAACCACCCACTTGTAGTATTTCTGTCATAGCAATAGTAGATGATTAAGACAACTACATACATATGTAGATATTAAAACTTGGACTAACATTGATAACAGGATCTAACTCACTAAAATAATCCTACATATAATTTATATATTAAGGGAGTACCTTGCTTATATATTAGGGGGCACCTTACAATTACCATACTATAAAATACTAACTAGAGTCCTGGTGTAGTGCTATAGGATAAGCATTTGATAGTTAACCACAAGTTTAGCAGTTCAAACCCACCAGCTGCTCCTCAGAAACCCTATACAGGGTTGTTATGAGTCAGAGTTGGCTGGACAGCACTTAACAACAACAAAAACAACAAAATATTGACTGCAGAGAGTCTCTCCTAGGCCCAGAAAATGAAAGACTAGCACTCATCTACTAACACATTCAGCCACATTGTTTCTTAAGCACAGCTGTCAAAGACCATAGTTAAACTGTCTTAACAGATATTTCAAGCCAATAAAAATGTAAGTAGAGCTCTAAAAGATTTGGTAACCACTGTGTACTATTTATAGACTATTTATAGATTTGGGACTATTACTGGCCATTAACCTCATTCACATATTTGTTTGTAAACATATATGCCTGGCACTGATATACACATACCTTATAATAATTTTTATGCATGCCTAAAGCCTAGTCAAGTTGAACTATAAGCAAAGGTAACCTGTTTCTCTTCCAATCTGACGTGTCCCCAGGTTGATCACAGGTGTTCCAAAAGCTCCAACCTCTCGCACCCCACAGCTGCTGTTCCCAATCATACAACCAGCATGGGCAACCAACTGTATAAACTGGTCAAATGGGACATGTTTAACTGCACGGAAATTGGGATGATGCTCAATGCCCTTCTTCCGCATCACTCGAACCATCTCTTTGCTCCCTGTAAAAGTTAAAAGCATCAATTGTTAAATGATTTATGAGATAAAGAAACAATTGCCATGGACAAGAATTGTTGTTGTTAAGTGCTGTAGAGTCATAGTGATCCTATATAGGATTTCCGAGGTGCACTTGGCGGATTTGAACTGTCAACCTTGTGGTTCACAGTCCAGTACTGATCCTACAGCACCATACCAGGAGTCTTGGACACGAATAGCCCCACCTAAAGAAATATTCCTATAAAAAACTCACACCAATTACTGGGGAGATAGTAATTTTGATTTTTCATTTTTTTCATGAATAATGAAAATCTAAAATATATGGCCTGCTCACTGTTTCAACTCATCTAGGGACTCAAACAGCAGAAATGGAACTTTTCAAACAGAACTTAGCAAAAAGAATACCTTTTATTAATATCCCCATAAGAACCTTTGGAAGGACTCTAGTAGCAAATGGTTACAAATTGGGTTGCTACTTCAAGGTCAGCAGTTTGAAATACCAGCTGATTTCAGGAGAAAGATGAGGCTTTCTGCTCCCGTAAAGATTTATTGCCTCAGAACTTTATGCTGGGTGGCTATAAGTAGGACCCGACTCCATGGCACATCACCACGAACACTTTGCAACCCTGGTGCTGCAGTGGTTAGGTGCTCAGCTTCTAACTGAAAGGTCAGTGGTTTGAACTTACTCCATAAGAGAAAAATGGGGCAGTCTGTTTCTGTAAGACACCTTGGAAACCCTGAGAGCAATTCTACTCTGTCCTAAAGGGTTGGTATGAGTTGGAATCAACTTGGCCGCAATGGGTTTAGAAGAACCTTTACTTTAAGCCAACAATTCAGAAGCTAAAAACAGGCCAACAGTTTAACTTCTTAGAGGTCTCAGGCTCCACCTGCCAAACTGATCAGAGAGCCTCTGCCTCAGCTGTGCTCAAATTTACACTAGAACTAGCTCCACTGGGTAGCACTCCCACTTATGTGGACTAACTAACCAAAATCTCACAACCATTGAATCAATTCTTGACTCATAGGAACCCTCTGAAGGGTTTCCGAGCCTGTATATCTTTATGAGAGCAGAAAGCCTTCACTTTCTCCTGCAGAGTAGCTGGTGGCTTCAAACTGCTTACCTTGCAGTTAGCAGTCCAATGTGAAACCACCCCCCAAATACTGATAGCTTCTGATACTGTATTTGATAACTTATTTTAAACGCAATATTTAAAAAAGTTTTCAAAGATGTATGAGGGAGAGGCAATATTCAATACCTCTAATCCACCCTTTTCTTAGCTACCCCTGATCAAGGGAGGAAAAGTTGCAGGTGTGATTAGTTAAAAGCTGGCCAGCAGCCGCACCGTGCTCACCAGCATGCAGGAGGAGCTGTGCACGCATGTGCTCTTCAACTCTTGTACTTTCTCTATGAGGCAAGGCAGAAAGTAAATGGACTCAGAGGCTAACTCCTTGGAGCAGGCCTTCTTTCTTTATCCAGCCTTGCTAGAGCATGCTGGTCATCATCTACAATTAGTGTGTATGTGACTAGCCAATATTCAGATCTAGGCTCCTCTTTGGCCTTAAGCCTAAATCACCTATGTACTAGCCCAGTTTTCCAGAGTCCTATACTGGGGTCTGGGCACTAAGCCAAAGAAAAATAAAGTGATGCTTTGATTCTTGTTTCATTATTTCCTGTGTACATCACATCAAAAACCTCATAAGGAAGGGGTTTTTTACTTAAGTATTCCTGGGATCCTTTATCAAGAGGAAAACAGCTCTAATTCTAAAGTGTATACAATCAGGAAATCATATTACAGAGTATCATTGACAATGAATATAAGAGAGATACACAATTACAAGTGTTAACATAAAAAGTTAAAGGATTAGAAAAGAATAAATGTTAAGATTTTAAAATTTTTAATGTATTAACTGAATGAAACCTGGATTATCAGTAACAACTCCTGGCAAACCTATGTGTGTCAGAGTAGAACTATGCTCCATAGGGTTTTCAATGACTTTTTTGGAAACATATCACCAGGCCTTTCTTTCACAGCACCTCTAGGCAAACTTTAGCTTCAGGTAAGTGCATTAACTGTTTGCGCCACCCAGGAAGAAACCCAGTTTGTTGTTGTTGTTAAGTGCCGTTGAGTCAGTTCCGACCCATAGCAACCCTGTATAGGGTTTCCAAAAGGAGTTCTGGTAGCGTAGTGGTTACGAATCGGGCTGTGAACCTTAAGGTCAGCGGTTCGAAACTACCAGCCGCTCCGCGGGAGAAAGATGAGGCTTTCTACTCCCGTAAAGATTTACACCCCTTGGAAACCCTGTACTGGGTCACTATGGGTCGAACCGACTCGATGGCACTTAACAACAACAACAACATAGGGTTTCCAAAGAGCAGCGGGTGAGCTTGAACCATCGACCTTGCAGTTCAAATGGCTTTGCAGTCTGGCGCATTAATCCACAGCACTACACCAGGAATCCAATTTAGAGGTTCTTAAATTTTTTCCAACTAACGTTCTGATTTACTTCCTCTAAAGGAGCTCTGGTAGTGTGGTGGTTACGAATCAGGCTGCTAATCTCATGGTCAGCAGTTCGAAACTACCAGCCGCTCCGCGGGAGAAAAATGAGGCTTTCTGCACCCGTAAAGATTTACAGCCTTGGAAACGCTGACAGGGTCACTATGAGTTAGAACAGACTCCACAGCACATAACAACAACAAAGGAGCTCTGGTAGTGTGGTGGTTACGAATCAGGCTGCTAATCTCATGGTCAGCAGTTCGAAACTACCAGCCGCTCCGCGGGAGAAAGATGAGGCTTTCTGGTCCCGTAAAGATTTATACCCTCGGAAACCCTTTACAGGGTCGCTATGAGTCAGAACCGACTCCATGGCACATAACAACAACAGAAAAAATTATTCTAGGGACACTATAAGCAGAATCCTTTCAAGATGGTAACATCTTGGCACTGAAGGATCTGCTTCCTTTACAGAATAAAATTAAAATAGCCTGGTGACAGCTAACAACATCAGTTTCTTTTTAATTCCTGCTCTGGCATGTCTCATAAATATTTCATATCCGCATTAACTTGTTCAAGGTGACCAACCTGGTCAGATTTGAGGACTTGTTGGCTGGGGAGACCTAAATGACTTAAACTAAAAATGACTTTAAGATACAGCAAACATAAAAAAGAGAACAGGAAATAACAATAATGACTATTTTGCTGCAGTCAACAGGATCACAGAATATTATTTTCCTAGACATACTCCATTACTTTAAGGTTTATGTCTCTTAGTTAACATGAAAGGTGAAGAGATTTTTTTAAAGTGTTTACTTTCGTACTAAGCTTCTTTTAGACTTTACAAGATCATCAAACTCTTTGACCCACAGCATAATTGGTGATTCTTTGAAAATCTGAATGCTGAAATGCTTTCAATGATGAGAAAAAATAGGAAGGAGAATCAAAAGAAGTTGTAATAGCAACAAAAAATGTGAAACGGTAGGTGACATAATGTCAAGTTCAATTACCTGCATCAATATTTGGAAATAGAACTAGGGTCCGTTTGTTAAATGAGATAAGTGCGTCCAATGTTAATTCAAACATTTTTATGGAATGCTTAATGTCAGTGGTCACAGGGTGCTGTAATGCAACAATGTAATCTTTAGACTTTACATCATCACCTGTTTAAAGAAAACCAAACCACAGTTCTTAATTAATAAAGAATAATAAAAGACGAAGAAGCAAATTCTAAAAGCAAGAGCCTAAAGTCTATGCTTTTAAGAAATCCAAGGTAAAACAATTTGTCACGTTCTCAGCAGGGCATCCATATTAGAGTCAAATGATAAGAACTTAGAGCAGCAAGCCCAAGGATACAGCAAATTTTACATTATACAAAGGTGCTTGCTACCACAAACATAAAATATAACTTCAAACAGAAGGCACCAGAGATTCATTATGCTTTAAAATCCAGAGCATTCGAAAAATTTAAATCTTCCCAAATTCTCCCGTTTCTTATGAATAATCATCAATAGTAATGAATAATAAAATGTTGCAAATCAGAGCATTTAGTAGAGTTTGAATGAGAATTAAACATATTCCATATCATATACAGGCACTTCCCCATACCGTTACCTGCCAAATTCAACACATGGCAAGTGTGTCTAAATCTGTTCCTAGGGCTAGAAAGACTTATTTCATCCCCGGGCTGGGATCCTATGGACATTCTTCAGCAAAAACCTAAAGTGTAAAAGATTTGTATGGACAGTGCTATGCCAAGCAACACAAGACATTTATAAACATAAACCAAACCCACTGCCAGTGAATCAATTGTAATTCATAGCAATCTTGCTGTACTCTACTTTACAATGGTTATTTTTGATTGACTACACATTTTTCAGAAGTACAAGATTTTTCAGAACACATATAAAAAACAAACCCACTGCTATCAAGTCAATTCCAATTCATAGTGACTCTATATTAGGTTTCAGAGACTGTAAACCTTTATGGGCACAGACAGCCTCATCTTTCTTTCACAGAGTCGCTGGTGGGTTTGAATCTCCAAACTGGCAGATAACAGTGTAATGTCTAACCCACAGTGCCACTATGGCTCCTTGAACACATATAAAGCTAACAGTATAGTCAGAACAGAATGCAAGAGTGCTACTTAGAAAAATACAAAAAGGAAACACTAAAGAAATTAAAGTTTGTTCCATTTCATGATAATTACAAATCTGTTCAAGGATTTAAAAAATACATGTGTTGTTGTTAGGTGCCATCAAGTTGGTGCCGACTCATAGCGACCTTATGCACAGCAGAACGAAACACTGCCCGATCCTAGGCCAACCTCACTACTGTTACTACGCTTAAGTCCACTGATGCCGCCACTTGGCCAATCCATCTTGTCGGGGGTCTTCCTCTCTTTCTCTGTCCCTCCACCTTACCAAACATGATATCTTTCTCCAGTGATTGATCCCTCCTGACAATATGTCTGAAGGATGAGAGATGAAGTTTGGCCATTTTGGTCTCCAAGGAGCATTCTGGCTGCACTTCTTCCAAAACGGATCTATTGGTTCTTTTGGCAGCCCATGGCACTTTCAATATTCTCCTCCAACACCATAATTCAAAAGCATCAATTCTTCTACAGTCTTCCTTATTTACTGTCCAGCTTTCACATACATATGAGGTTATGGAAAATACCATGGCTTGGGTCAGGCACACCTTAGTCCTCAAGCTGACATCTTTGCTCTTCAACACTTTAAAAAGGTCTGTGCAGCTGATTTGCCTAATGCAATACGTCGTTTGATCTCCTGACTGCTGCTTCCTTGAGTGTTGATACTTGACCCAAGAATGAAATCCTTGACAACTTCAACCTTTTCTCCATTGATAAGAATGTTGTTTATTGGTCCAGTGGTGAGGATTTTTGTTTTCTTGACATTGAGATGTAATCCATACCGAAGGATGTGCTCTTTGATCTTCATCAGTAAATGTTTTAAGTCCTCTTCACTTTCAACAAGCAAGGTTGTATCATTTGCATATTACAGGTTGCCAATGAGTCTTCCTCCAATCCTGATGCCACATTTTTCTTCATATAACCTAGCTTCTTGGATTATTTGCTCAGCACACAGGTTGAATAAGTATAGTGAAAGAATACAACATTGTCGCACACCTTTCTTAATTTTAAACCATTCAGTGTTCCCACGTTCTGTTCGAACAACTGCCTTTTGGTCCAGGTACAAATTCCTCATGAGCACAATTAAATGTCCTGAATACTCATACTTCGCAATGTTGTCCATAGCTTGTTGCACATAGAATGGATTAATTTATATAGTGGCAGTGGTAGTGGTTATGTGCCATGGAGTCAGTTCTGACTCATAACAACCCTGTGCAGGGTTTCAGAGGCTGTAAATCTTGACTGGGAGCAGAAAGCCGCATCTTCCTCCCACGGAACAGCTGGTAGTTTCGAACTGCTGACTTTGAGGTTCACAGCCTGATTTGTAACCACTACGCTATAGGAAAGCCCAATTTCTTTCATGTTCTAATATCCTTTCTGTTCTAATATGTGAATTAAAAATATATACACCCCCTCTAAGACTGAAACACAAAGGGAACACATGAGCAGGCATGTAAGCTTGCTGGTAACCACATTGGTCTACTGGTGAGTAGCAGTGGAGGAAAGGCAGCAATGAAGAAATGGGCTGAGTTCAATCATGATCCATAGACTCCCGTTGACCTACAGATGAGAGAGAGAAGAGGAAGGGCTGGTTGGTCCAAAGTGTGGTGAGACCTGAGGACACCTGAGCCCATGGACAAGGACATAGCCACAGAGGGCTGGAGCTGAGAGTGAAGCATCCAGCTGATATGAAGTGAGAGGAGACACACAATAACACCCAAACTTGCAGACAGTATCCATTTGATCTAGCCTCGATGGCTTGATGATCAGAATTCTATTAGAGGAAGATTAAAAAAAAATTTTTTTTTGGATAAAGGAAACAAGGATAAGTAACTACAATTTGATGAACTTGACCTATACTCATGGAGGTGGTAGCTCTAAATACCAACTGAAAAGGAAGGAGTCTTCACAAGTATCAATGCTACCCCTGCTGAATACAGGGTAGACAGGGATGGGCAACTTAGACACTGGCTACCTAAAATGCGGGGGCGATAAAGGCATGAAGTGACAGGCTTACAAGGATTCAAGAAGGAATTTAGCTTAAGAGTGTGTGAGGGAAGATAGAGCCCCCACTGAAAACTTTTCACCTTGCCTAGATGGGTCTGGTTTAAAGATAGGGGGATAAGATTCTTATGATCCAATAATAATTGTTATCATGACTAATTGCAACTGTCACAACTGTACAAGTAGAAGTTTTGTAACAAAAACAGGGGAGTAGTTAATCCTACAATCCAGAAACAGAGACCCCAGGCCATCAAGGGAAAAGAGCACACACAGAATGTGGGGCCCTATCCAGAGAAGCAGCAACACCAGAGTTGGAGACAGAGATAGGCACATGGAGAGAGGGAGCAGCTGAGGACTGTAGATTCATGGGAAGAGTGGGACTGAGAGCTGGTGGCCAGGAGGCAGATTTGCAGAATGTGCACTTTGGTGGTGTAAATGATTATATATGTCTGTCTTTTTTAAAAAAAAAAAAAAGAGGTAAAATGAATAGAGGAAATTCTGTTAACTGATGGTACATGGAGAGAATTATAATCGTTGTAATGAAACAAGGTGTATGATTTGTTGAATGTAAAACTGATGATGTGCCCTGTAAACTTTCACTCAATTCACAATAAACACATTAAAATAAAATTTAAAAAATATACATACATACATATAAATCACTTTTGTTATATAATCAATAAATCAGTATACTATTACTTAATATCTACTTCTTAGAAAACAAGGTCCTAAACAGATGATTAGTCCTGAGTTTTCAGCTTTGTAGAATAAGCAATGAACTATGAACCACGAGGTCAGTGGTTCAAGCCCACCAACCACTCAGCAGAAGAAAAACTAGGCTTTCTGCTCCTGCAAAGATTTACAGCCTTGGAAACCCTATACAAGGTCACTATGAGTTGAAAATGACTCGACAGCACTTAAAAACAAGTATTCTCACTAAAAATCAATCAGTGGATATTCTAGTTTATAAATCTGTTTTCATAGCTTTTGACTAGCAAAAGGTAATTTCCACATAGATCAGCTGGTCATTGACAATTTCACACTTGAGGACTTATTTAGATAGAGATAATGAACTCTGATGACTTTTGATTTTTAATAATAATAATCTCTTGTATTAATATGTGCTTATAGCTTACTACTAATTATCTCATTGGCATATTTTAAAAACTCTATGAGACAGTCACAAAAATTAAACATAGTTTTTGTCATATTAAAAAAACAAAATTGTCCATAATCCCACAAACCAGAAGTATCATGAATAGCTTGATGTAACATATTTCTTAACATTTCCATGATAGTTCTTAACAACAACAAAAAAATGGCATTCTATTAAACACAAAATTGTATAGCTTGCTTTACAATATATCATAATTTGTCCTTGTCACTAAATAATCCCACATTATATTTAATGGATTAAAAGCATTCCATTATATAAATATAGCAAAGATTTTTTTAAAAATCAATCCACTATACCTGTTTTACAGAAAAGGTAGTGAGTTTCAGAGAGTTCAAGTAATACCAAAGAAAGAGAGCTAGGAATTAAAATGTTAGTCTTCTGATTGTTACTAGAACGTTCTAGCCATAATAAATTGCAATATACCAATGTTTCTAAAAGGACAGAAATATACCTAACGTTTTTCTGACAAAAACAACCAATAAACTGATTAAATTTTGATACCTACCTAACCACATCCGAATGATACTCATGTAGTCTTTGTTCTTGGCTGAGAGAAGTTTGTCATAGGAAGGACAGCCTGCCAAAAGGATGCGATCATGGTCCTCACACATAGATATCAGATGTTGCTCTGCACTTCGGGTGCAGCACACATGATAATGAGCCAGTTTTGTTATGGCATGTCTGATAGAGTCATCAATGGTCCCACTGACTTCCCCACCTTCAATGTGAAGGATTCGGATGTTCATCAAAGCAGCAGATGTAGCCAGAGCTAGGGCATCAAACCTGTCTCCATGAACAATCATGATATCAGGCTTCAGGCGATTAAGGACATCTGGTAGCTTCACCAGAGCCAAGCCTACTGACTCCACCATGGCTGCCTCATCTTCCCCCCTAACGATCGTGTGGAGCCTAGTGTTAATGTCGAAGTCATCTTGTTCAATCATGCGATACGTGTTTCTACAGGGGGGGGAGAGATAAAGATGTGAAAGTATGTTCTTAAATGCAGGGCCAAGTACAGTAAAAGCAATATAATGCCAACCCTGAAGGAAGAAGCATTTTTAAATTTTACTTGTTAAAATAAAGTAAATAAATAAATTGAAGTACAATAAAACAATAATTACAGTAACTTGAAATAGTTCCTTTACATCTAATAAACAATATAGGTCCTAAGTGGTATAGGGTTTAATGTTTCTACATGAACACACCTGTACTCACCACCTAGATCAATATATAGAACACTTCCAGCACCTTGACAGGTTCACTTGTACCCACACTCAGTTTCTGGATGGAGAAATATCTGAGGGAGAGTTTTTTCATTAGGAAGAAAGACCACACTGGTGACTGTTGTTAAGTGCTGTCGAGTTGGTTCCAACCTATAGCTACCCTATGTAGGGTTTCCAGAGTGACTGGTGGATTTGAACCACCAAACTTCCAGTTAGAAGTCCAGTGCTTATCCTATAGTGCCATACCAGAACTCCTAAAATTATGATAGTAGTCATGATTTTTCTTTCTTTCTTTCCTTTTATATTTTTTTGCTTAAAAAAAAAAAATCTGCTGCTTCAATGATAGGAAAAATGCTACAAAAATTATTATTATTATTTTACACACATACACACACAAAGGTGGAAATCAGGATGCCTTGTGTGTGCGTGTAAAATAATCAAGATGTCACCATAATATTATAAACTTAAAAGGTAGATGAAAACATCTGAGTTAGCTATATACATAGTTACCATTGTTTTTTTTAGCTACCCTAGAATCAGCCCCCAATTCATAGCAATTCCAGGTACGATGAATTGGGCCACTGTGATCCACAGAGTTTCCATTAGGTGATTTTTCAGAAGTAGATTACCAAATTGTTCTTCCTAGTCTGTCTTAGTCCAGAATCACCACCAAAACCCGTACAGCATAGATGAGTTTTCTTTTATTTATACTTTTTTAAGGGATGCCCTTCCTAGATATACACACCAGTATTTTCACCAAATATGGTAAATTCTGGTTATTATTTGTTCTAAGATTTTTCTGCCCATATTTTTTTTCTTTCTTTCTGAGACACCAATTAAATGTATATTAAATTGCATCTGATATTGGCTCAAAGGTCCTTGAGATTCTGGTCTTTTTTTATTTATTTTTTTGTTCTTCTACTCAATCACTCCAATTGATCTCTTAAAGTTCACTGATGCAGTCTTCTCTTCAGTATCTACAGCTCGCAGATTTTTCATTTTCTATATTGTACTATTCAGTTCTAGACTTTTAATTTGGTTTTTTTTTTTTTTTTTTTTTAATAGTTTCTGTTTCTCTGTTGAGATATAGTGGTTTTAAAATCCTCATTGATACAACATCAGAACCATCCCAGGGTCTATTTCTATTGACTACATTTTATCTTAATGTTGGGCCAGATTTCCTGTTTCTTTGCACAATTTGTAATTATATATTAAACATGGGGATATCACACTATACAGACTCTGAGTTCTGTATCTTCCTCTTGAGATGGTTGATTTTTGTTCAAGCAGGAAGCTGATTTTTGTTCAAGTGGACAACAGATGAAATTTGTACTCAGTTTTCTCAGCTTCTAGCTGTTGCTTTCTGCTAGGCTTCTTGGATTTTCCATTCATGTGTAGTTCAGCAAAAATTTGAGAAGAGTTAATAAATATACAAGGGGACTTCAAAAAGTCTGTGGAAAAATAGAATCAAAAGATAATGGGAGAGACAGAGCTTGATGGCGGCTAGGGTGAAGGTGTAGTGAAGTTCGCCGTCAGCCATACCACAGAATACCAGGCAAAGCAGATCCAAGCCAGAGCTCAAAAACTCAGAACCACATAGCTAGGAATATTTTTTAAAAGTTTGAAGGCTTATAGCTAGTGGAACTTTAAGCTGAAGTAAGAAATCGTGTACTTTTCAATCTGCCAGACTTGGATCCCAGAGCCGACATCTTGGGTGAGAACAAATGACAAAACCAAGCAGGGGAGCAGAACCACCACGGAAAAACACCACAGGAACCTTGGAGCAAAGGTAGACAATACACTTTGTTGGTTTTACTATGTTCTGATTTTCTTTTTGGTATCTGGTCATTGCCCTCACCCCCCACTGTTTGTGCACCTGCATTCTGGTGACTAGAGGGGGTGCCTTAATGAGTGGACACCCACCACCCTCACCACTGGTGGGTTCTTCTGCCACGCATGCACACAGATACTCAGCCCAAGAGCTGGCCCTGACGTTTTGTTGTTGCTGTTGTTTTTAAATAAGGGAAAGGCCAGGACAAGGCTGTAGAGAGGGAAAGAGAGTTTGAAAAAAAAAAATACAGGCCGAAAATTAAATTAAAGCCTGAGGTATAGCATAACAACCAACAGTGGCATCTTGAAATCTCTCAGGCAGCTTTGAAAGCAAGAAGCTGAAGAAAGGACGTTAAAGTCATCCTCATATGAGGAGCTCTGGTAGCATAGTGGTTATGAATTGGGTTGCGAACCTTAAGGTCAGCAGTTTGAACTACCAGCCGCTCTGTGGGAGAAAGATGAAGCTTTCTGCTCCTGTAAAGATTTACAGCCTCGGAAACCCTGTACAGGGTTGTTATGAGTCGGAACCGACTCGACAGCACTTAATAACAACAACATACTAGGTTAGAGATTTTTTTTTCTTCTTCTCTCCCTCCTCTCCCCTTTCTGAGATTATAGACTGCAGTATTCAGTCTAGTTTTATTTTGTTGTTGTTGTTTTAGGGATTTTTTGTTTTTCTTTTTGTTGGTACTGTTTTGATGTTTTATGCTCCCCTTTCTACCTTTGGGGGACTCTTTCTCTCCCTATATTACCCAAGAAGAGTCAGCAACTGCTGCCATATAGTCAAGCTACAATTCATACTCCATAAAACACCAAAACCCAGGCAAGAACCAATACCAACTGCCATATACCAAGGAGTCAAACAATATCTGTGAAAGTTACTCTGAGTTAAGCAATAAGAAGAGTGAAAAGGGAAGCCCACATCCTGATTACATCTACCTGGAAGTAATCAGAAATCATAAAACATACCAAAACACACACTCAATTAAGTATTAAGGCCACAGATAAATACTAAACATGTCCAAGAAGCAAAAGTAGATGACCAGATCAGCACATGTCCAGAAACAAGATAAAATGTCTAAGACAAATGACCTAGAGGTACAACTGGACTCCATTCTGGAAGGAGGGCAGGCCTTGGAAATTCCTGAGAAGGAATTCAGAAAAATGATTATAAAATGTTTCAAAACACTTTATAATGGAGTTGAGAAAAATAAGGAAGAACTCATGAAAGCGCTACAGGAACAATCAAATAAGATAGATACAGCATTGGAAACAATTCAAAACCTACAGAAAGCTGTCCAAACAATCAATAATACAATATCAGAAATAGACAATACTCTGAAAGGGCAAAGGAGTAGAATAGAAGAGATGGAAGGCA